TTTCTTTTTTCGCTAGCTTTCGAGTGGCTTTTGGGTCTCTCGTTCTTACTTAAGGCCAACCTATTAACCAAGTACTTGACGTTGTAAAAATTTCGCCATTGTAATTAATAAACATTTAACATTGCATTCATTGGCTGCTGTTGCTGCTGATACTGTTGGCAACGGTGCGGCGAACGATTATGGCCATTGTTAAATTTAATGACGCTTAAATGTTGGCTTCAGCTTTTTTGGCAAGTGGGTGGTATGAATTGACGTATTTTCCTCCCATGTTTCCACTTAATTTTCCATTCCGTATTTCATTTCATTTTATCGTAGAAAAGGCAAAGCTGAAATTCATTTACAGCGAAAAAAAAGGTCAAGAAGACAATTACCTTTCAATAAATCACAAGAAAAAAATCCAATGCCCGATTGCAAAGAAGGTTTCCAATTTCATTTTAAAGTCAATGAGCCATGCCAATGTCAGCCGTCACCGAACGAACGGCCGACAAACAGACACTCACCTGCGCATATAAATCAATTAAATTAAATATTTAACAATTGATTACTGACTGGGCCTGTTTAAACTTTCAACAAATATTTGTGCAGTGGAAATGCTATGCCGTGCGGCCTGGAGCACAACAATAACGAAGATAAAGAGGAGATACCAAGCAAAAGCCAATGCTCCCATAACAATGGGCAACAGCTAATGTTAAACTTTTGCACGCAAACCGCCTTAAGGTATGCTTTATATTTGTTGTAGCAGTTTGTCAACAGTTTATCCTTGAGTTACAATTCCATTTTCATATTTTTGTTTCGTTTCTTTATGTTGCTTATTAAAGATTTATGCAAGTCTGTTGTTTGCGTTGTTTTGGAGGGATTTTTTTGCTAGCTGTTTTTGCTGCTGTTGTTGTTGTTATTCAAATTGTGCGTGAGAATAGCTCCCCAGGAAATTATGATGGGCTCAATTTGAAGTATGGCCTTTGTTTTATGGTGGCTTGTTTTTATTTTGTTGGCATCATTGTTTTATTTTGTTGTTGTTGTTTTTTTTTCATTCTTTGGATTTTTTCCACTTTTTTTGTATTAGTCATGGCTTTAAGTTGTAGGCTCCCTACCTTTCATTGTTGCCATAATAACAAGAAATTTGTTGCTTATGAAACATAAAGAAAAATTGCATACTTCATGGCTTCAATATTCGCAGTGAAGTATATATTTTTCACCATGCTTCATGAATGTTTGGGTATATAATGTGGAAATATTTTGGGTCATTGCGGGTCATATTAGATGCCAATTTGAGCCATCTAGTGTACAATAGATGAGGTTTTAGTTCGAATACTATAATGGATATTACGACTTGGCCGTATATTCTGTGTAGATGACTTGTGGATAGTTTTTTCTAGAGTAGACGACATTTTGGGCCATCTACGAAGAAATATATGCTGTTTATGTTTTTTTTATTATAGAGTAGATGACAATTTTGATCATCTATACTCGAATTGCTACCTTTTGGGATCTTCTACCATAGTATTGCATTACATTATAGGTCGTCTACTATAGAGTAGATGATATTTTGGTTCAACTACAATAATGAATATAAACTTTACTTTTTATATATATTACAAAGTAGATTCCCTTTTAGGTTTGAAGATGATTGCTCTATTGTAACCATTCAACCTAATGATGCTGCCATCTATCGTTGTCAAGAAACAACGTATCATTGAATTTTATGCATTGGTTGGAGTCTTTGCTTATTTAGTAGTGCGTTAATCCCCAATGTGGTGGCGTTATCTCTTGTCATTCTTATTTAGTGTTATTCTCATCATTTGATGCAAATGCCTAGATAGGCTTTCAGAATTTCAAAAGGACTTCAAATGCATTTTATCTGGGGGATGTAAGTCTTTTTTCATATTCGAAAAACACATAGAAGGAATTTTTCCTCCTTCGCTGACATAAAGCCCGGGATTTATCGATTTTTAGTCTGGCACACTATCAACTGCACTACCTTGTCCAGTATTTGAGACTTGGGTCGTCAACTGTAGAATTGGTGACGAGAAGATCATAATATTCCATATTTGGTTTTTATACGATCTTAGTGCGCAGGTGGACGTTAATCCGCAAGTGACTTTGCCTCCATCGACCAAATGGTAGTCGCTCACATAGCCAAATGATAATCGCTCCACATAGTCTTCACTATGATCTTAGTTGTCATTATGCTTTTTGTATTTTCATCAATTTGTCATGGAACACATTTCACTGCTCTATATACTTGCTTGCGCCTAATTGTATGCACCATTTTAAGGAATTACACACAGTATTAACATTTTACTACGAAATCCCTATTCAAATGGATTTTTCTACGAACTATAATGTGACATAAGCCCCATTTCAAAGATTGTGTCAAATTTTCTTCGAAAATATTCCAATTGTATTTGTATTTATATTAAGATTGTTTGTAAGACCATGTTTGATAAGCTTTGTGTTATGTTGTTGTTATGAAACAAAACACAGGACATTTGAGAGATTTACTTTTACAAACATCGATTGCAAATTTGTAGAAGCATTACTAACGAGACTTTACGTGTCTAAGTGTTGGGTAAATAATTGGAATTAGTCTCTATAAGAAGAAGTGAAGAGAGATAGCTTAATTAAAGGTGAAAATAGGAATAATATTAAAGGGAATTTTTTCCTAGCACCTACATCAAAGATCAGTAACAGGGACTCCCCTAAGATATTGTATGGAAAAAATTAAGGACATTATCAAATAGTCTCCTCTAATTGCCGGAAACTTAAGCTAAGCGTCTGAGATTCATTCAGCGAACAAGTACTTCTCTTCTTTATTGGAAATGAAGGAAAAAATAAAATATCATCCACTTTATTAAGAAATATTTCCAATATGCCTCATTTTCCACTCTTTTACCTTTCACTTTTTCCAATAACTACCATGAAATATATACCCTTAATATTTTATTTCATTACCTCCTTATTGGCATATTAACTTCTTCAAACATTAACAGGATTTTTTTCTTTCATTACTTATTTCAATTTCGTATCTTTTCTGATTTTTTTTCTTTGCAATTAATTTCTTAATAAAACCTTAATTACTTACTACTCTCGTCTGTACGGTCATAAAGTAGTTTTTATGTTACTTTTCACAACAGGTAGGAAAGTTTTACAAGCTCATATTTCCACTAGCATGCCACCATGTTATTAGCATTCTGACTTCTTCTCCGTATATGTTGTACCATAAAATTTTATTTCAGATTTGTTTTTGTTGTTGTTGCTGCTGTTTTTATATCTCAAATGGAATATGAAAAGAGGCAGTATAATTAAAAGAGATTATGTATAAAACACATCAACAGCAACAACAAAAACACGAGCAGCGAACAAATCCTTAATGTATTCTATATTTATGAATTTTCAGTTTGTGCCTAAAAGTATGCCACTGTTTATAAGGTTATTTACTTAGAAACAAAGCAGACACATTCACAAATGCAACTCACACCATTAATAAGTGGATGTGGATGCTTGTCCTTCTTTGGAAACATTTTTTTTTTCGTTTTGCCACCTGAGACTGATAAGAGTCAGGGATTTTTTTTGTACTAAAAGTTGTTTTAGGGAATTTATGACAGGTTAATATACTTTTACAACAACGCCCCTCCTCCTCCTCATCCTTTGCACAAGTCGCCATGTCCTTTTTGCTTTATTTTATATGTATATTTACATGGTCCAAAATAACAGTGTCTAAAGCTTATTTGGAATATTTGCTGGGCCTAAGTGTTCTCCGACTTAATTTGTTTTTTTTTCTTGCAGAACATGTTTGTGTGGTTATGTCTTCATGTGAACATTGTCTTTGCCTTTGTTTTTTCTTTTTTGTGCCACCTATTTACTTATTAATGTACAGAGCTGGAGTAATCCATTTGCTTGAAATCGTTAGTCCGAAGGAGTGCCATTGTAAATGTGCGTATATGTGGGAGCAAATGTGAGTCGTTAAACGTATCACAACGACAACAACAAGCACATCAATAAACAACTGTTTGGTCGTGGCCTATGACCTTTTGCATACACCAGAAATATAAATACGTTCGAAATTTTGACATTCAAAAAAAGGCCAAACAAAGATTACCCACATACTCTTGCACCAAAAATCTGAGGAGAAAACACGAAAAAAATTAGAAAAACAGTCGGCATTGCTTAAAACGACGATACGACGTAAAAATGTGCCGAAAAAGTTATGTTCTTTATTCACTATAATTTATAGCGCCACCCAATTCGTTCACTTTATCCGACGTTTTGAGATTTTGACTGTATGAGGGAATGATCTACCTTATGATATGACATACATAATCCACGGATTATTCGAGCTAGGGATACGAACTTTGGCTTTCAATAAATCGCCATTTTTTAAAGGTAGATTTTGTGCATCAGCAATCGAGAATCTAACCTATAAATATTCACCATTTTTCAACCGTGTTACGGGAACCAAAATGGTGGTCCTCAGGTCCTACCTCTAAATGGCTTATCATATTCGTTACCAGTTTCTAAAAATTGTGTTGTTTTTTTGAGCAATGTTTGCCTTAAATCAAAACCACCATAACCAAATATCGTTTGCCGGTTAGGCATAACAACGATAACAAAAAACCAAAGCAAACAATATAAACGAGCAAAATTGGCAAACACAATTGTGTGGACAAAACAAGAAGTACCGAAAATATCAAATAGAAGTGTAATTAAATTAAAAAGGTCAACATTGATGGGGAAAACGAAAACACAAAGTCAAACAAAAGCGTTCGCACACACACACAAAAGCTGAGATAAAGCAAAGAGGCATAGAGGAAGGACTAATGGAGATGACACAAAACTGTTATTTTCAATTCAAAGCAAAGCAAAGCAAAGAACTGAGCAGAACAGAACAGAAGGGGAATGTACACCGCCTAAAGTGTTAATTAAATGTCACATGCCCAAAACAAAAATCTAAAATTCTAACAACAACAAAACAAAATCTTGGCCATAACCAAAATACTTACCAACACCAACGTTCACGTTCATGATAATCCTTTTGTTGCCTATGAAATTGTTTCGAAAAATTTCCTCTTTCCTGTTTCCGCTTTTTTGTGGTAGTTGTTTTAGGAAGTTTCTTGTTGTGTTGTTTTATTTTTGTAATCCAATGGATACGTTTAATCCATCAATTCTTAATCGTTAACTTTTATGTTCAACTGTCGTTTGACATTAGGATTTTTTCTCTTCTAAAATACAATGGAGTAGCATGGTTAGCATATTTTACACAGACACACACACACTTACATATATTTTGAAGATAAATTTAGATTATTTGGTCAATTAAAAAATTAGTCTTTTAATGTTAGCACCATAAATTGGAGTGTGCGAAAAAGAATTCAGTAATCATTTGTCCGACATCATTTGCAAATATTCGACTTCGAAATTCTATGTTGGAGACCGACATATTACACTATGGGATAAGATCTTAGGGAGTGGAAAAATCCGTTCTGGGGATAGAAGACTTTGGTAAGCAACTGAAAACCCCAGAAGGAAAAGTTAGCCAAATGTCAATGTTCAGAGATATGATTTGATCATTCTTTTACGGGCGACCCTATTATGATTCAAAGCTTGATTTTCAGCTGTTGTATGTATTTCTGGGATTACATTTATCAGTAAAATCGAATGAGTTTTTTTGTAGAACATTTCGTGTTTCTAACTCGATTTCTTGTGCCTCCTTTTCGACCTTAATTTGTTGAACCGGACTCAAATATTCACAAGATGTGATTTTTTATTCTCACAATATTCTAAAAACCTGTTCTTCATAATATTTTAGATGGGGTCCCCAAAGTTGAAAAATCAATACGTTAACGTTTTAATTGTAGTTTCTCCTAAAAACCCGGGTTTCTAAATTTTTGAAAAGGTTATTCTGATAATAAAACCGACCATAGTCCGGTTCAATTAATTTAGCGCGTTTATTTCAAATTAGCTTTCTAATGATATGCAAAAAATTTAAATGCCCGGTAGAAATATAATCTCAAAAATTACATACAATAGCTGAAAATCTATTTTGAATTTTCATATATTCACCAAGGTCTTTGACCCTCAATAAGAAGTTTTCACCCCCCTGACCTTAATTTTATACCACGGAGTTATTAAATTATATTATTTAAAATTAATTAGTTATAATTATAATTTTTACAAATTTGTTTATTTAATTTATTCTTAACTCAAAAAAAATGCTATATTTTTACAGATCCTTGCAACCGGCACATTGGCCACGCAAGCCACCTTGCAGCAGATTGCAAAAGAATAAACTCAAGTTCCTCTGCTTCTCAGGTAAGTCGCCTCACATTATAATTCTCAATTCAAATTGACTCTGTCACCTATAAACCACCTAAGCCAAACACCCATTAACATTTATTGAAAAGCAAGTGCATAATAAAACTTTAAGATATTTTATACATTTTTATGATACTCAGCTGAAGATAAACATGAAAACCTAGAGTGTACTAGAAAGAAGACATAACGTGTATACCTATAACCTAAACCGATAAGCATTTCCTTTTAGAACGACGGTATGGAAATGAAACACAGAAGAACGAACGAACCCAGTGAAGCTTTGAAAATGCGTTCAACATGTCATTGTAAGCAACGACTCTGTTGCTGAGTTCCTTTTATGTTTTCTTATTTTTTGTGTTTCTCTTCCATATGCGTTAGTTTTATGAATATCAATATGTGTGAGATATAATATGTGTTTGGTTTGTGTGCAAGTGTGGTTTAAATAATTCCTTGACAACAAAACAAAGCCATTCCTACACACTTTGCATGTGTTTCCTCTCTCTCACTTTCTGCCCCCTCTCTTTATCACATCTCGGTTTTGACTCGATTTGTGTGACACAGTTCACTGAATTTAAGTACTCGTATACCACACTATATGATGGAGTATGTCGGAATGCTGGGGGTTTCACAGTTCTACGCATAAATGTCATAACCTCAAAGCTCCATTTTTTCAGAACAACGTGCCTGTGCTGTTTATATCTTTTGAAAGATACTCTTGGACTTTTTGATAAATTATATTTTCTTATTTGAGGTTTGAGTTTGATGTTTGGTGTTGTGTTTGTCATGCAGACAGCCATTCAAGTCAGTGTTACTCATGTTCTTCTTCTTCTGCTTGTCACATCAACACTTTTTTATGTTATTAGATGAGTGTGTGTTATACAAAATAGAGGATTAGGTGACAAACTCACTGTTGCTGGTTTTGTCAAATTGTCATTGTTGTCACTAAATCTCCTTAGTACGCCAGAGAGTGTGTCTGTCTGTATGTGATTGTGTTCGTGCATGTTGCGTTTAACCGTATTGTCATTTACAATGATTTTTTTCCGCATGACAAATTACACGTGCTTTGAATACAGAAGCAGCCAGCAGCCTCCTCCATAGCCTACTTTTGTGTTTGTGTATGAGTGTGTGTGTCGGTTTGTTTTTTTATTGTGGTGTAAATAATGTGGTTTAAATCATTACTGTTTCATTTCATTCACAGCCGATTCTCTATTTATTTGTTTTTTTTTCTGCTCAAACAAACTTCCATATCTATATCCGTGACAGACATTGAATTTTATCAAATGCGTTGTAATTGAATAGACCGTCGACACGACGATAAAATACTAGAAAAGGTGTTGTGATAGGATAACGTGAATTGGATGAATCCCCTCGCTAGTCAATGTGGGAGTGTCTTTGTTTGTTGATTTTATTGATTGGATTTATTTGAATAGAGATTTGTGGTGTATAATAAAATTATTCGCTTCTCTAAATAGCAGATAAGGTTGCGGAGTCATTATGAGGGTAAACATTTAGCGAGAAGTAGTATGAATAAATAAATATATCAACTGTCTGTTTCCAATTTTTTATATTTCTCTTGATTTATTGTAATCGTTGCTGACCATATTTTTTAAAAAAAGGTATTGATATAAAGTGATACCAAAAGTGGGATTTTTTAAATTAAAAATCTGAAAATTTAGCTTAGATTTAAAAACATTGCACAAAAAGTGGCGTTATAATTGCTTAATATGTTTTTTGGCATGAATTCAAAAAAAAAATGGCACCCAATGTGGGGCAATTTGTACCCATAAATTACCGATTTTAGATATAACTTTTCAAAAATTTACACCAAACCTGAATATAATCATGCATAAAATCCAACTTTTAGCAATAATTTTTAATTATTAGTAATTGTTTAGGAGCGGCGCCCAACGTGGTGTACTTTTTATAAATTAAAACATTACAAAATTTATCACAATTTTAAATCATGACACCTAATGTGGATTAGATTTATTAAATTATGATTATTAAATAAAGTGGCACCCAACGTGTAATTTTTATTTCGTAAGAATCAAAATTTGTGTTATGTGTTTGCCAGTTTGCACCTCAACTTGGATATCATCGTTCGTAAAATACATTTCAAATTTGATTTTGATTTTATGGTAATTTTAAGGAAGTAGAGCCCAACGTGGAGCACTTTTTATGAATGAAAAAAAATCCGAAAATCAAACCCTGCTAAATTCTGATAATGCCGCGGGTGAATTCAACAAACCAAATTATAATATCCCATTTGCAATAGGAAACATTCTAGGAGTAGTAAAACTGTTTCTATAAAATCCAAAAGCTCTATAGTTAATATTGCGATCTCTATCGTGATTTCAATAGATAAATGGAAAGACTATAATTGTTGTATGACTGACTTGTGGCACAAATATAAGTTCGTCCTTCAAATTGTCTAAAAATGTTCCCTACTTTTTTCGCGCAGATCAGGGACTTTTCAATTATTCTTTTTCATCACAGTCTACAGGATGATTAGTCGACATCAAACAGTGACTCTCCTTTAAACAGCTGATTTATACCCTATTTGGAGAAAAATAATTCCCTCACCTTATACTGATCAACATTCTATTGCAATTTTTGATCCCTTAAACATCAAATTCAATAGCTATTGAATAAGAATATAATCCTATTATTTCTCAACTCTTTCATGCAAGTCATTCCTCTAAACATTTCAATTTCTTGACGTCATACAATTTTAATTAGAACATCATCATCATTGTTGTCGACGTCGTTATCAAAGATTAGTAACTGTTTTCCATCAATCATCCATACGAATGTCTATAAATGACCCATAAATGTCCAACACTCCATGTTGCATATTTAGCCAGCCAGTCCGTCAGCCCGAACAGTCAGTCAGTCATCCATCCATCTACCCTTTCCATTTCATTCTTTGTGACTTTTCCGCTTTCATTTGCGGAAAGAAAGATGAAAAGTCAACTATTCGTCGCATGCCACCGTTGTTGATCCCCCCCTCTCCCCCTCATCAATTCATAATGACAGGACTGAGATAATTTTTGTAAAATATTTCATTGAAATGAAAATTTCATTTGACGTTGCTGTGAAAAGTTTTCCCTTGGCCAAAAGAAGAAGAATGGTTGTGCATCGATGATTGCTTGCTGCAGTTCAGGTTGTAACAAAAGGGTAAGAGAGAGAGACACTGTGTTGTGTGTGTGCGTTGTAGTATAAATAACTGCAGTGAAAACTATAAATATTTGCTTTATTTTTGTTGCTATTGTTATTTGTAAGCGAACGAGTGTGTGTGTGCTTCTTTTGTGAACACACTTCGTTCCGTTGGTTCGTTCCATACCATACCTCTTTGACCCTGAGAGTTTTTCAGTAATCCAGCATCAAAGTTGAAGCGACGACGTAGCGTATTTAAGAGGACATGGCTATTAGCAATGTGTATAAATATGTATTTGTGTGTGTGTGTGAGTGTTTGGGTATGGGTATGCTTGTCTCTTGGCCACTGAATCTCGGTTATAATGGCATGGTTAACATAGTTTCATGCTCGTTAGCACTTGTCCAAAACTTGTCAAATACTAGAATGATGTCCCCTCACATTCCTATTTATTTCGTCGTTAATGCATTTTCTGTGTTGCCTGTTTCGCAGGTATGGTTGGAGGATGTCGTTGTGCGGCCACGACTACCACTACAACTACTATTAATACCAACCACATTATGAAGCGAACACAACAATGACCAAGAATCATGGTCATAATGATGAATAGAGGAATTT